AACTATGTACCAGTAGTTACCACCATGGAAGGTCTTGACAAGTCTTCCAGAAGTCCCTCCCTCCTGAGTCGTGCTCTTTCATTCTTAAACCATGTATTCACATGTCGAGCTAGAACTTGTTCTCTTGTTTTACGCTGGTCCAAGTTGTTTAGGATTTCAGCATATCTTGTCAGATCTTTAATATCTGGCTTGGGGTTTTCTTCATACCATTTCCTAAGCAGTGGAATTTCAACAGTTGAATTGAATACAATTTTCTTTCCACGTAGAGTGGCTAACATTTTCTTCCCAGGTGAGGATGAACCATCTTGCTCTTGTTCTTTGCTCAGCTGAGAATGTTCATACCATGCAGCAAACAGTTTTATTTTTTCTGATGACAGACGGCAAGGGTATTGGTCTCTGGATATCTGTGACAGCATGCCCTAGTAAAAACCAATACTAAGTTAATTTAAATACTTTTTAACTCCCAGAAACCATTAACATGTAACTTCTCCCAAAGATATCCTTACATTATCCAGCAAAAAGGTTATGAGAATACTCAAACTGATCAGGTCAAAGTTGTTATCTTGATATGACAAAAAGTTCTCATAAGTAATTTACAAGGAGGGGAGAATTAACAATAAGATCTTGGGAGTTATAGGGTTTACAATGTTTGAGTTTTTCTTGTTGACAAGCATTTCAAGTTTGTTCAGGAAGAAAATTGCCAGCCATTTCTACCTGCTTGATTATTTTGGAGGTAGAAAAAACCCAAAACAGACTGCAACCATGCCAAACTCTTTGTTTAAATAACATTTTTAGCACTTTTATTTCTCTTTAATCAATTGTAATTTTATCTTGTATTAATAGATTCTTATCAGCTATCATTTTTTCTCTCAATGGGGTAAAAATGTTGTTGTTTTTAAAAAAATAACTTTTTTTGCTGCATTTTTATAAAAATTGCCAAAAGTTTAAAGTTTAAGATTATACTTCCACATAAAGTACACCTCCAATTTCTTTTTCTACCTATACAATACCTGTGAAAATGGACACAGCATACGTTCTAGGTGAGTTTGGCTGTAGTACTCTAGAAGTTTCTTGATAGCTGTCTTGACTTTTTGATCATCCCAATCCTTACTGTAAAAACATTGCACAAACACTAATGTCAGTAAAATATCTTACAGTAAGAATACTCTGTTACTTTTTGACAGTCACAGACTTTTTTTTTTCCACACAAATCTAACACTAGGCTAATTTCTGGAGTGACTTGGGACTATTTCTTGTGCCATTAGGGTTAGCCTCATGGTTAGCCATTTAAAAGGTATGTGAAATAATGCCACTGATCATCCCACAAGTTGTCCAAATTGTAAAAAACCTCTACCCTGAATAGGAGCTAAACAGGCCACCATTAATGAAAGAAAAAATTGATTTGTTACGCTAGTGTCTCAAAAAATAGTAACCATTGTATACATTTCCCCATGCACAGTATTTCTAGTAACATTCTGGAGAGGAAATTTTGTTTATCCCACCCATCAAATCAACATAAATTACATAAAAAAATAAGCTGTAGTATTATACCCAAGTTGTTGATAACTAGCATATAGCTGTGGAATTTTTTCAACTCACTCATAACAAAGATGAACATGAAGGCTGATTGCTGCATCTTTGGCAAATAGAATCTCACCAAATGAATCAAGCAATGTCACTTCCAGGTCACCTGCTGAGGTGAAGTCTGCAAGTGGATGTGGTTTCCAGTGGTCACGCACTTGAATCAACACTGGAAAAAAAAAAAGCAAACAAAACACAGTCAACCCTTCACACCCCATCATCTGCATGTATTTTCTCCCTATTGTTCTCTATATATTTCCTAAGGTGCTGACAAGGAGAATTTGTCCAACAATCAACTACTGCTTTGGTTGGTGATCATATCCTTTATTCTTGTTACCCTTATGTTTGATTCAGGGGTGATACGTGAGGAGAAATTAAATGCTAGTCAATCTTAGGAGTCAAAGGGCTAAAGGGGATACATCAAGGAAGCCTAATCACTTAACTAGCATAGTGTTTCCCTGAACATATCTTATGGGGTAGGTTTCAAAAGTTACCAGACTTTTAATGACCTGCTCCTAGTTGACTTGTTAGCTCAGTTCAAAGAGCACTGCATCCGTATTGCAAAATACATAAGTTCAAATCCCATACAGAGCAGAATTTTTTTCAGGCCTTATTTTAATAGCTGCTTAAGTAGTGTTCATCACTGCAAAGATTGGTTTAATATTCATCTCTTAAAGCACAGTTCACATATATGATTTTTAAAAATGTTCACAGTTTCAGATTTTTAACAATGGCAAATTGTTAATAATTTGGCTGGAAGGGTGCAACTCTGGTACTTAGGCATTTTCAAGATGTGTTACAGTCAACAAAACCTCTGATGTGAAAATGAATTTTTTTGACTTCTCTAAATTTAAAATTAGGCACTTTTGGAACTAGAAGATGTCCTAATAAATATCAATACTGATTTGGGCTCTCACTTCCAGAATACATGTAATATAGTTTCATCTCCTGTAAATTAATTTGGTATAGTCTCTATTCACTTGTATTTATTTGGTCATAACTATTTTAAAGTGAACTAATTAGATAATTCTGTTAAATGATAATCATAGCCATCTTACAATTGAAATCATGTTTGATACCATCTCACATTCAATATATGCTAGTGGAATAAGACTACTGTGGAACATATCTTTACTCTTTGTTACATCCATTTTGAAATAACTGGTGATCCTTGCAATTTGACTAGCTCTTGGTGATGCAATTTATTCACCAGTCGCACAATTTTATGCTCTAAATTGCATCTTTTTCCCAGGCAATGAGACAGCTTTACTAAAACACCACAACCAATCAGACTTCAAGGCTTATTTAAAAGGAAAACGAAAGACAACTTTTGCAACTTTTTACAAACTAACTAATACTGGACCATATTTGTATATATTTAATAAAACTTGTATTTGTGCAATCAAATTTGTTACTTCAAAATACCAGAAGTTGTAATAAAGTGGTATATTGTGTCATGCAATTTTGGTCTGAAATTGTAAGTGTTATTTAAAACCAAACTCGCCAAGCCTGCCTGTTTGATTTTGAAATCACGCATAGGATTTCAGACTAAATTGCACTCCACTCAGTTCAATTCCATTATAAATTATGCCCAAGCTGACCCTTAACCATTTAAATCCTTAGACTGACCAGTATCTAATTTTTCCTTACAATATCACCCCTGAATCACATATCAGGAAATGATCACTAATTAAAGCTCTTGATTGTTACACAAATTCTTCTTGTCAGAACCTTAGGAAATGTAGATAAAAAAGTGTGGAGAATATGCATAGTGATGTTAAGGTGTAAAGGGTAAATGGAGCATGATCGATCAAGTCTTCTCGTTTTAATGGCATGCTAGAATTCAGCAGCTGTTTTTGCGAGCAATTGTAAAGGATGCGCAAATTATCAAAAGGTTGAGGTAGGGTATATGCAAATTATGCTAAGAACAAAATGCATTGGAGGAAATATGAGTACAACAGCGACATATTTATGAGTACAATATTATAGCGTTGTTTTTTAAATAGGCTTATCAATACTGAATATTCCTTGTATTAAATTTGGTCACGTCTCATTTAAAGTTTGCCAATACTCTTCCAAACACACCCTCCCCTCCCCAAGTATCAAAGAATCTGAACTGTAATAAAGATTTGCATCTCCTGTGACAAACAACAAAAACAACATGTAGCGCTGATTGCATTGTATAATCCACGGAACAAAAACGGATACAAATTCAATTTAACGCTTTATGTAGTTGCTTAGGGGAACTAAATTCTGACCAAATACTCGAAGTCTTGTAGACATATGAAAAAAAAAAGAACAAAGAAACACCACATTCTATGAAATGAATAATAAGTCTTAACAGTATGCTTATACCTCCAGGGTTTTTAAATCTTAATAAATTGAAAGGAATAATGAACTTAAAAGGAAGCATTTCACTTTAGCTATCGTCTGTTCCTGTGAAATGTTGAAATTTATTTAGGGGGATCGTGAGGGAAACAATTCAAACAAAATCAAAGCCATGTACTTCTTACATCAATAGAAGTGATCTAAATGTGGGTGGTCAGTTCCCCATCGATCAATGATTCGAACCTCAGGCTTCGCGAAGAGTGCATTGTATCTAACAAAGTTTAAATGTCAGGTTAAAAAAAATTCAAACGAAATGAAGCTCACTTATCCACTGACCTTTGGCGTTGTCCGCTTTCATGATAATTTTACCATCTATTTCTTGCTTTTGGAACATGTCGCTCAACACGCTCGCTGCAAGACTCGAAAGTTGTGTGCTGGGAGGAAGTTGGATGCCGTTTCCCCTTGCGACCGTTTCTACCTCTAGTCCTTCTTCTGTGAAACTTGGGTAGTGCACAAAACAATTAAAATGGATTAAAGCCTCTTCTCCCTCCATCACAGATCTTTGCTCAGAAAGAGGTCGGCAAAACAAGTTTTGCAGTTATTGATCCTCAATCATCTTGAAGACAATATGTAATTTATAAACATTCAAGATGGCGGTACCCTATGAAATTTGATACGAGATTATATTTAATCCACCAATAGTTTATCAGGAAGCCAGTGACGCGACCAATAAGGATTGAAGATTATTATTAACCAGCTGTCAAAGAAAACCTTTAGGGATTATCAAAAGCCCCCCTCTAACGCCTGAGGAACAAAAGAAAATTTAAAAACACATGGACAGCACACTTTTACGTTCTTTTCACTTATTTATTTTCGACTTAAAACATGCTATCTTCCTATTAGAAAAGGTGGAATTTCAATTAAATGATAAAACTCACGAAATTCGTCTTAAAAAATTCTAAAAAACTGTATATTTCATCCCGATGTTTTGAATAATCTACTCAGACTCGATTTAAAAGCAATTCTTTACAACTTAATATATAATCTCTTAAGAAAATAAAATAAAAAAATCTGAAAACTTACATTAACCTTAATCTAGCAAACGCACCAATTTTCTGTTCCATCTGTTCAAGGCGTTTCTATTAAGGTTGTGACGAATTAAAATCTTTAAAAAAAAGTCGAAACCATTAATGCCCAAAACTGTTCCCTTTGTATTTTAAAAATCTTAAGGAACCAATGGTAAGGATTCAATTGAATTTTTCGAAGCAAAAAAGCGTTGGACAGCATTAAACCACTCAATTACCAACTTATTACCTATACTACTAACATTTGCCTCGTTTAGACAAATTTCCTAGAAAACAGTTGAAATCAAATGCTACCTGAGATCTGCATACCAGGCACTCAGCCGATCTAAATCACTTGCACCTGATTTGATTAAGTTCCCACCACACTGGCGAGTTGATAGCTATGAGTAAAAGCGAGCCCCTGAATACAAAGTAACACATGGTCGCCTCTGGCCAAGAAATTCTAACTACCTCATTACAAAATAAATTGAACACCTGCTTAAAACAGCATAAAGAAATTAATCTCTAATAACAACCTATGCCCTATATACGACTTCATATATATTTCAAATTTTTAAAATTGATAACACAAAAAAGCTCCCCAAAGCAACTTAAAGGGTCAGCGTAAATTTACATTTCTCTGCGTAATGACTCCCTTTAATATCTTACTCTTCTTCCTGTGCTGTAATTCCATTCTTTGTGGAAGTCCACTCTTCTTTAAATTAAAACCATTTTTTTTTTACTTTAACCAAAGCAGTGTATTAACACAAAACAAAATGTCATAAGAACCTTTACAAGTTAAAAGAAAGACTGTATGTTAATGTGAAAACGATCTTCGCAGCAATGAACATTACTTAAGCAGTAGCTAAAATACAGCTTGAGAAAAAAAAAATCAGGATTTGAACCCATGACTTCTGCGATACTAGTACAGTGCGATACCAACTGAGCTAACAAGCCAAATGCGAGTTGATTTTTACGTTGGTTCGTAATAAATACGTGAAGTGATGAAAAAATGACTGTGATTTCATGAAGATATGATCGCCTTATTTCCACTCCTGCTTAAGCAGTGTTCTTTATTACGAAGATCGCTTTCATATTAATCTCCTAATCCGCAATTCACATGTATGATTTGCACATATTCACAGACATTTTATTCATCAATTCATGGGTATATTAAAAACCAGCATAATAACCAGCTCCCAGTTGGCTTGTTAGCTCAGTGAGAAGAGCACTGCACCGGTATCGCAAAAGTACTGAGTTCAAACCCCGTACAGGACTTAAGACTTTTTTTTTTTCTTTTCAGGTCTTATTTTCATTACAGCGAAGACTGCTTTCATATCAATTTCTACATCCATAGTTCACAAAAATGATTTTAATACATTCAAAGTAAAAAATGTATGTGTCTACATATCCTTCTCATAGAGAGGCCACCGAAATTTACTATTTGTTGTTTCCTGTTGATTGACAAGCTCCTGTAATGACGTCATTTCATGACCAAAAAAGTTCTTTCCCCTCCTCCCCGTGAACGTTCTTGTGGTGACCCAAACATCGAGGGGTCTGTGGAAGGAATTGACGCTAGAGTACTCATTAGCAGAAGACGGCGCAATTTATTTTTCAGGGATTGTCCCTTTTTACATTGTGAGCAAACCAGTTCATTGTTGTCGAAAAGCTGTTGTTGATAGCGTGGTCGAATTTACTCCTGAAGTCTCTAAGGGCATCATCTTCCGATACGGGCAAGAGGAGTGTTTTCCGCAAGTAACCAATGTCATCAAGTGACCGCAGTTCAGGGAGGCCTGCGGATAACATCATGACGAACAAGTTGATCAGAAGTGGGCCCTTGCGACGCAGTATGAGAAAGGCTTCTTCACAAAGCTGTTGAAATCTTAAGAACAAAGAAATACAATTTAAACGGTGAAAACTTATGATGGAAACTAGAGAGGATGGAAGAAAGCTTATGTGGTGATCACGTCCTCAACTTCGTACTTTCATTCTCTTTCCAGCTGCAAAAAGGGGGGGGGGGAGAAGAGCAAGAGAGGGCGAAAAGGAGAAGAACTGGGGAGGGTGGGGAGGGGACAAGAAAGAGGACTCCTCAAAAACGAGATTGTCATTTCCTTTAGAATTTACTTGCAATGGAGTTAACCTGAACAACATCCTTGCATTATCACACCTGAAATACACATAAAGGTCACGAGAATAAGGGAAGCGATTGCCAACTCAAGAAGTTCTACATTGTTAAACAAATTCTCCGCACCTTAAGAAATACACAGAGAACAGTGTGAAGAACATGCATACTTGTTAGGGCGTGAAGGGTTAAAGCAAGCCTTTACCTTTTAAACTCGTTCGTATCTCTTCCTTTACCCAAGGAAATCACATGTACAAAATGATCAGTAAGTACGAAAGGCACTCTTTCTCGCCGCACGCCAAACTTGCTCTTGAAGTTACCCAAGATATGGCCGAAGTCAATGTGGAATAACTGCAATCAAAACAAAAACGCAGTTTCAAAACTCACAGTTTAAAATTGGTGCTGAATCAGTGAAAATCTTAGAACAAAATTGTAAACTTTCTCCAACCAATAACGAAAGTAGCTGTTAGAGACAATGCATGTAAACCCTACGACCACACATTTCCGTCAGTCATCATCAGTAAACGTACCTGTCCTGTATTCTTCACCATGATGTTATCGCTGTGCCTGTCACCCACCCCCAGAACATATGTGGCCACACAATACCCCGCACAGGAGAGCGTGAAACGGCGCACAGCTTCGAACAGTCTACATGGGAGATATCAAGACACAAATCTTGAATTTTACATAACACATTAAATACTTTATTTCCTTTAAAAAAAAAACATGGAAAAGACAATTTTTTAAACAAGAACGGTGGGAGAGGGGAGGGGAGGAGGAGTAAGGAGTCTGGATCAGATGGGTTGAGGGGATGTTCATCGAACATAATGACGCAGAACCTATTCAATCCTAAAGTACGTTCGATACTTATTTGAAAATTGCTTTCAATCCTTTGACCTCTAAGAGTGACCAGCATCTAATTTCTCCTTACAATATCACCCCTGGACATTAAGGTCACGAGAAGAAAGGAAGTGATCAGCAACTAAAGAAGCTCTTGATTATTCCACAAATTCTCTTTGTCAGCACCTTAGGAAATATACAGAGAACAGTATGGAGAATATGAATTCTGATGCTAAGGTTTAGCGAGTTAATGCTGTCGCTGAGCACTTTCGTCACTCAATTAAGCAATGCTCCATGACGTGAACAGGATGCAAATACAACGCATGACCAGTCATCTCTTTAACAGACTTTATTTTTAACCACTTACTCGTCTTCAGTAGAGTGATAGTCCTTGAACCAGTTCCAGATACACTCTTTAGCAAAAACAGCAGTCATTCCTTTCTTTTTCTGAAGCTTGGCTATGGTCTCAGCTTGGTGCACGACCTCGATCATTCCTATAGAGCTTCCCGTGGACAAACATCCGTAGGGGATCATTCTGTGTGAGGAAAAATAATGCAATTTGTGGTAACTATAAATTGGCAGATGTAGCTATTTCATAACTACTGACAAGGGTCTGGATTCGTGTTGGATGTTCGCAATGGGTAATGGGACTGGTTATGTCATTTACTTCCTTTGCCTTTAAAACACTGCATTCTGTTGCAAGCTTTCGCCCTATGTATTTTTGTAATTCTGAAATAACGAACCCTAAATCCAGTCCTTCGTTCTGCCAGATCCTATCCATGATTTTAAACAGTTGTAAAGTCAACATGTCTTGACGGAGATCTACAAAAAAATCACCAAAAGTAAAGTTAACACAGAGAGAATGCAATACTTTAAAAAGGATGTGATCCTAAAATAACATGTTCTGTACCTTGTAAACAACAACAACAAAAATGAAAATGTTCCTAATTTCTAGCTTGGCGAGATTTTGCATTAAAAAAAAACTTTTGTGAATGACACATCAAAATACACGATTTGCGTGCAAAACATTGTAATACGAGGTACTACTCGTAGTGAAGCGCGTGCAATTCCCGCGCTGTACACGCGCTTGACTAGCGTGTGGGTACTGCAACACTCGTGCGTGGTTCTGTACTCTCACACTCACCATCTCCATTCTTGAAGATAATGCGCACCAGGTCTCCCAGCTCGTCCGTATTTTCGAACACCAAGTAAAGTGGCCGCATCTTGGAATCCATAAACTTGCACTGGTCGACACTGAACAAATTAAGATAAATTTAGGAAAATTGAGATTATATCTGTTTTAAGGACAGTGCTTGCTAAAAGTGACCTAATTTTGCCCGCTCAGTGACTAGACAAACAAATTAAATCTCATCAAGGGCTAACAAAATCCAAAAACAAAACTAGGAGTAGCCACGCACTTTTCCGAGATAATAAGTTTTGAAACCTGAAATAGAAGCTGACGTTCCAATTCTTAACACGAGTAAGATTACAGACCGAATTGGACGACACGAAGTCGTCTTACCAATTAATCATAAAAATCACAATTTCCGAGAATAGAAGAATAGCCATTAAGGGGTCTGTGTACTGCTTCTATGGTAATTGAAACCAAGGTTGTGATTGGTTGATTTAAACTACAACTTTTCATGTGATTAGTTTATTGAACTGTCTGACAACAAACTGTCCAATAACAACTTGGAAAGTGAATTAGTGGAAAATAAACCAGTTTTTTAAAACTAATCACAGTCGAGAAAATTGTAATTTTTATGGTTGACTAGGAAATTTAGAGCAGCAAGGGTGAGATGTCATACTTCAGTTGCCGCAGCTTGTAGCTTGGATTAAGTGGAGAGCTGATTTTGGAGAGTGCTCCTTGATACGTTTTCTGACGAAGAAGCTCTTTCATTGTTGCCAAACCTTTTTCCTTTTTTTCCTAGAGCAAAAAATACAAAATAAATTGAAATAAACTATTTCAGCAATAAAATGATTTGTGCAGCTGGTGGAAGAGTGTTGGGAGGGGGGGTGGGTGGGGGATGTAGGTGAAGGGCATTCTGTGAAGTATATTGCCATCATCATAAAAATTTGACACACGAAAATAAATCAAAAGGAAATAAGATTAAACCATTCACAAATAAACAAAAAGGGCATCACACAATACCCTGTCAATTAGCTGAAGTAACTCAGTAACAGCTTTCATCTTGCTGAGTGCTTGGGCCTAAGAAACAAAGTAGTTTTCATCAGTTACACCGCTGTCAATTCAACAACAGACTGTGACTTTCCAAAGAGGACAATTCACATGCATGTAATGATCACTTAAGAGACTGACAGGGTCAACAGTGACCTCATCATTAATCACTGTGCCATTTTCATCTAATTTCTAACATGCTACATCGTTTCCCGCTAAAGGAGTTCCAATCTGAGTTCCATTCTCATCAAACTTAGACAAACCTGGTGCTGAAGGCTTTTCATGTGTGTCGGGGCACCACGGCAATATGCTTCTAACATCAAACCAAACCTCACTGAAACTCCAGGATTTTCCATTTCAGCCCTAAGAAATCAAATAGAAATAGTGAGTATAAGCTAAAAAAAATTTCACAAAATTAAGAAATTGTGAAGGTTGTAATATCTATTTCCTTTGCTACTTTGGATGGCCGCTACTGAGTAATTTCCTTGAGCCATTGGTTGGAAAGACCAGGAAGATTTCAAATTTTGGCGAGTTGCTTTAATTCTCAAAACACCATTTTCTTTATCTCCTTTGTGATTACATGATGTTCAAAAAGTTTTCTAGATTTCCATGAAGATAACTGAGTTAGAGTAGCTTCATAATGCTTCATATTTCTGCAAATAAATTTATTTTAGTTTCTCAAGTTTGTTATCAACGAACATGATAACTTTCTCCATTCTAAACCAATCTTTACCCTATCAACTGCAGATTGCAAGTCTTTGGAAAATGAGAGGTTAAATCTCTTGACTTTAATATATCATTGATACTGTCAAAAAATTGTACCTGAGAAGCCAAAACAGCTCATGGCCAAAGTGCTGATTCTTTAAAGCTCTCCGGAGCAAAAACTCTGCCAAGTCACAGTCCAAATATGATTCATACTTTAGAACCTGCAAAAAATTAATTTTGAAAGCTTTTCAGGTTATGGTTTACTCCTTTAATAACACATTTATCAATTCATTATTCAGATATATGTTTTTTTTTAAACAGCTTGCTCTTTCTTCTAAAAATGTTATTGTCAGACGTTTCTGGATTTTTCAGAATGTGCAGTTCCATAAGTATGGGTTATTGACCAAGCATGAGTTCAAGATGGCTAGACATTAGCCAAGTTTTTTTGGTGTGTGTGTTTTATGGACTGAGACAAAGACCAAGAAAAGAGCAAGGCTCATATCCAGCTATCTTGAACAAACAAGCTTGTTCTTTAAAGGATTTAGTATGTTGCAAAAAGATATCACTTTAATAATAATCAAGAATAACTTGTTTATTTCAAGAGCTAGGAAAGAAAGACAGCTGTGTTTGTGGCACAATAAACCCATAAGGTTGGTTTAAGTCCTCTGCCACTTTGTGACTTCATTGCCAACACTGTTCAAAAGTTATAAACTTTGTAAGTTTGCTCCATGCCCTTTTTTTTGTGCTACATTAAAGCAGGCAATCCTGAGCTGGCAAGATGGGCCTATCTTGCCTGCTCAGGCAGCCAATCAGAACACAGGATTTGCTTCCTATTGCCCATGGGTGCTGCTAGCTATATATTAACAAAATTATTTACTGGTATATTGATATCTGAAAAGGTTAGTGGTATTTAAAGAAAGGTGTGTGAAGTAGAATTGGTAATAACCAACATTGCCAATAGGTCATGAACATCTTCTGGAGCAACACATTTATGTTTTCTCTTGGAAGCAATTACAGAAAATGAAAATACTGATCTGGAAGCCTGTGTACTTTTCTTTTTGCAAGGGCTAAGGAATTGTTTACCTGGACAAGCTGAAGAAGATACTGTTGGATCTCTGAGTCTCTGCACAAATAAATCAAAGGAATACAATCTGAATGTGTAAACAAGATTAAGTATTGGCAGGTAATTAAACTCATTACAGTACTGTTCACTGATCACCAATGGTCGTATTCATGGATAATTTAAAAGTGTGAATGATCAGAGGAAACTGGTGGCTGAAAATAGTAGACTGCAAAAAATGGTCAAACTGTAAAACATGAGACAAACCTCATCTTTTCAATACACTTCACTGCAATTTTTCTCACTTCTTGGTCAGCATATGTATAATCCAAGAGTTCTAAAGCCACCTCTGGCTCAAGCTCTGGCCACGTTTGAAGCAGGATTTGCATCTGAAAAAATAACACCATAGCAATTATTGCAAAAAGAAATCATTTGATTAAAAAAGGTTTTTACAATTTTAAATAGTGAGACTCCTGAACAACAGCAAGGATTCCAGAACAACTATCATAATAACTAGAATACACAATGCAGACAGCAGGGTTTAGCCATATAATCCCTAACAGTGGTATGCATGTTCACTGTACAGTTCTTTACACTCCTCTTGTGATAATGACAAGGAGAAGTTATTTAGCAACGTCAGGGAACTTCTCAAGTTGGTAATCATTTCCTTTATTCTCACTAAGGGGAAACTAGATGCCATTTGACAGAGACTGAGTAGTTTAGATTTTCTGGGATCTAAGGATTTAAGAAAAGTTCTTTGGATTTCAGAGATGAAACTGTTAAAAAATTACTTCATACCAAAGCAACATCCTTATTACTGTTCCACTTCACACAGCAAAGTAGTTTTGCCAAAGCATGTGAAAAATGTTCACGGCAATCAATTCTGCAAAAATGAAAAACACAAGATTTTTTTTCTGTTACACAGTACTTTTAAATTTTGTTTGCAACCTTTACTGCATGTGCAACACCAGTGATGAGAAGAAAATGACAGCACTACATTACACGTCAATCTATAGTTTTGGGGAGACCAATGTATTTACTCCTCGCAAAACACCTTCAAAACTAGATGAAAGTAGAGATTACTCAGGAGGTAAAAATAGAAATTAAAAGTAAGAAAAAAAAATAAGTAAAATATATGATATTGCAATCCACCTCGATAAACCTAGGTGCTTTTGGGAAAAACAATTACAAACATTTTTGAATAAAACACAAAAAAAAAACAAAAAATAACATTTAGGGTGTATTTTTGTCATTTATTCAGCCACAATGTGAGGAAGGAAAGAACAATAACAAACCTGCGCTGCCAAACAAGCTCCTTTTCTTGCTCAAAGATAGGAGCCAGGGGTTCACGATTGACTATCTGCTTTAGCTGATCAAGTACTGACTCATCTGCTCGTCCCTGTGTATGTAATACTTTTATTAGGCTTGATATTAATTTTATATACATATTTATTTATTGTTATCTTTGTTAGAATTTGATCAGTTATTTTTCTATTAAATAAATATTGATTGCAATATACAGTATAATATTTGTTTATTTTTCCTTGAAAATATAGATTAATTCTGAAAAACATTAACTAGTATAACATCAAGTTTACACTGTATTGTTTATATTAGTTAAAGCACTGGAGTCATTGGATTAAAAAGGAAATTGCTGGCTTCTCTTGGATCTTCCACCCCCTACCCACCCAGTCAATAAGTGCAAGATACTTACGAAAATGTCAGAATCCGTAACTTGTGCTGCCAGCTCAGCAATCTGTGCAAAGAATAGAAGAATGCACACTGTAAAATGTTATTACAGTCCAGTCATGACTAGATATTGTATACCTAATTAGATCTTTATCGACTATTGATCTCATCAAATTTGTCATTGGGTGAGGCAAACACAATGCAGATGATGTAAAACAAAGGAAAAACACTGTACATGGCAGGCAACTTGATGGCTTACGTTTCTTTCCTTTCAATCAGTAATTCTGCAATGTAATTTTAACCCTTACTTCTTTGTATTTCTTTTCAAAGCCACATCGTACCAGTGTACCATTCTTACACCTCTTCATCTCACTAATTCAAAGCCATTAAGTCAGTCTTGCAACCCTTTTGATGTGCAGCAAGTAAAAAAAAAGAAGCTGTACATGCCTGCTAACTTGATTTCTTGTTTTATTTTTATCTTTTTCAGTAGTTAACTCCCAAATAAAATTTGTAATTCTCCTTTCTGTCAACCATACAACTCTAATAATGTTAGTTCAGAGAATTTAGTATTGGATCAACTGACTATCCCCAAATTGATATTTTTCTTTATTGTGATCTCTTATCTGGTGGATATTATATTGATATTGTAAGGAGAAATTCTGTCTTGGTCACCAGTGGGAGTTAAAGGGTTAAATATATATACTTAACCCTTAATCCCAAAGAATGACAATTTTATCCCTAAGTCAAATATCAGTTCACGAGAACAAGGGAAATGGTTGTCCCAACTAGTCAAAGTATTGACTTTTTTCACCAATTCCCCTTGTATGACAGAAAAAGAGTACTTGACATTAGGGAATATCCATACTGATATAAAGTTGTAAAGGCTTATTGTAATAGCAGTGGTTTTGTTTTATTAATGAAGTGATCACCCCTTTCAACCAATCAGAAGCAAAGTAAAGCCAACTTGGTTCACTTGAATTTTTTATTTTTACACTCCACTGACACGCACTCTCTTCAGAGTTTCATCATATCAAGTTCCACCTCTTACCTGGTCAAACGATGGGTAAAGTACTGGGTCTGAGTAAGTTGAGAAAGCAATATCAAGTGACACTGAGGTTACAGTGTCAATATTGGAAACAACTGTGCCCACAGGATTCAGTTGGTCAGCCATTGTTTCAGGTACTGGCCATGCAAAGAGTTTCAGAGGACCTTGCCGAAGTTTACCTTGGTAATCAAACAGAGTTGTGTTGACCCATGCCACAGGAATTGTTTCCTAAAAAAAATTAAAGCCTTTACATAAGTTAACAGCCTTTACACAAGTTGTAGCAATATTCATACCTGCAGCCACTTGTTTATTTAGTGACCCTTTTTTTTTACATTAAACTTGCTGCTTAACTAGACAAGAAATTTGATTTGACCCTAATGAAAGCTAATACAAACTAATCCTGACAAAAGCAGAAACAAACTAAAACTAATGAAAGCAAAAAAACTGATCCTAGTGGAAGCAAAATCTAGCAATCTTAACAAGAGCAAAACTGAATTTTAACCTAAAAACCTTTGCAATATAATATTCTTGTAATGTCTAGTTTGCAAAAAACTTTTGTCCCCACTGTGTGAGAAATATTCTTGCTAGTTTGTGAGAGACATCTATTCATTAGTCCATACATTCAAAGCTACTTTTAGAGCAATTTTCAATTAAGCACTATTAAACCAAAACAGCAAAATATCTATCAGAACAAAGGAAAGTATCACAAGGATCTAACAGCAACTCAAACAAAAAACAAGCAGACTTCTTGAAGTGCAAGTGACCAAGTTGTAATTTGTTTTAGTTTTGAATCTGATTGGCTGTGAAAGCCATGCTAGTTTTTTGGACCAATCATAAAGTAAACTATGGCAACACTTAAGAAATACTAGAGATTTCTTGTGACATGCAATTGAACAATGCTCTTTGAGTTGATATCCCTATGTAATACTGAACCTCCTTCTTCTTTTTTGACTTCTTCTGAGGATTGTTGGTTACGCCATAAATCACAAGGCACAAGCGAGCCATTCGAGGAATATCTGCCACTTTTAAATCAAAGTCCAAGAACTGATTCCATGTTGGATTTGATCCACTCTCTGCCCTTGTGGATTTGATGTCGCACAATGCCTCTCCCCCATGATAGATACCTGCTCGGACACCAACCTGAATAGGCATGGCAGACAACAAATCAAACCCATATCTTATACCTTGTTTCAAAAAATAGTGTCATAGTTTGAGCCTGGAAGTAATTATTGATTACCAATTTATTGAATAACTGTTGCAAAATTTTACACTTCCACTATTGCAAAAATATTTCCTGCAAAGAAAGCAACAGTCACCTTGCTCAATATGCCCCATGGGATAGGCATCATTTTCTTGAATTGTTTTGAGGTGAGTAAAAGAAAGAGCCTGGAGTAAGACCCAATCAAGATGAAGAGCATTAAAAGAAAATGATGCACTCCTCCTTGCATTTGTCTCACTCTTTGTGTTCTCTTTGTTCTTGCCTAGCCTCTGATGGCCCACAAAATGCAACACAATAATGCTTGTCTGATAGGCCACACTAGAAGGAATACAACTCTTTAACTCACACAAGTGACCAAGACTGAATTTTTCCTTACAATATTAAAACAGTGTCAAGTAGACAAATGATGAGAATAAAGAAAAATATTTATTTGGGGATTGTCACTAATAGTTGATCCAATACCAAAATTCTCCATACCAACATCTTAAGAACTGTATTACAGATGGAACAGCAAATTACTTGTGAGATCTTAGTGGCAGAAAGGTTATACTAGCTTATAAAAGAGTTCACCTACTCTCATTAGGTCTCCTGCATTCACATTTGTGGCTGAAGTAATCTTGATTTTAACTTGATGTTCAATATTCCACAGTGACAAGCTTGTTGCCTGTGGCTTTGTAGGCAGAGGTGGTGCTCTGCAACCTTGACTTCTGCGACTTAAATCACTAACATCAAGCACCTCTACTTGAAGTGATGAACGAAGCACTAGTGAAAGCATTGGCCTGATTCCTTTGGACACACAAGTGCGAATGTACTGAAAACAAACAAATATAATCATAATATTTCATGGGTAAAATATATTGTTGTTTACCTCAGAGAGCCTATCAGAATCTTTACTTCAGGGCCGGGTTGTTCAAAGCTTGGTTAAGATAACCCAGGGTTACTGTGAAATCTGATCTCAGATCTAGAAGCTTTAAAAGAAAATTCAGTCAAATTCTTTTTTTTAGAATATGACTATTTGATGCTTTAAAAAGAACACTGAAAATTATCCTGAAATCAATCAAAACTTGGTCTCATTTGCACGTTCTCAGTTTGTAAGAGACTTGGGTATGTGTGGAGGCTCACAGAGGTATGGGTTTGTTTTATCTACAACAGAGGTTTGTGTTCGCTCTGGTAGTCTAGTGAGTATGTCTTTGAAGGTTCGTTTGGTCATTTATATATAGTGTAGTATTCTGTATCGAAACGACTTGAAGTAACTTGAGTTTGTATCGAATCAACTTTACATGAGTAACAAATCGACTTCCACTTGTATCAGAACGACTTGGATCCAAACGACCAGATTCCCTTGCACGTTAAACAAATTTTCCATGTTGGCACCTTAGAAAATGCATGGAGACCAGTATGAAGAATATACACAGATGTCTGGGTGTACAGGGTTAAAAGGAAAAAAAAGGATTTTCCAATACACACATACACTTTGTATGTGGCATACAAGTAGCACTTCATCCTCAACATACCGTGTACTGCAATAACGGATAATTTCCTAGTAGGTAGCTTTCTTGTCCAACAATCTTCAGTACGTAATCACTCGGTTTGTCGAGATCTAAGACCCCCATGATTGCACCTCTTTTCCTCAATACCAATACCAGAAGCTCGTCTGGATATGCATCAGCAGGAACATTAAATGCATGCATGTCTTTTATTGAGGCCCTATTGTTCTTGATGGCCACATTTACCAAGAAACGCCTGTTCTCCATTAATTTCTCTTCGATCCGTTCTGGTGGATCAGTGCTTTCGACTTCGGGAGGGTACGCATACATAGCTCGTCCAATCCAGTCAAGTTGACGCCTCTCACAAGCGATTTTCTCGGCAAACTGCCGATACTTTCGACGGAAATCGTCCACTTCTGTGTTCTGCATTTGATCGAACTCGTGCAAGCTCTTACCGATGAGGTTGCCAATGTGGGAGTCGAAGAGTTTTTCCTCGTTGTCACCTTGTTTTTGTACAAGCTTCAGCAAGGGTCTAAAAGGACGCACGTCGATTAGCTGGCGAGTTTCATCCAGTAGTTCCTCCTGCTTTCCTCTCTGATTCACGCACACAAATATGTAATTCGCAGCATCTTTGAGAAAATTAAACAACGGATAAGAGCTGGCTTCTCTCCATAGTCGATTTTTAATCTCTGACAACGGAGCTTCGATGCGAACTTGTAACTGAATCACGACTCCTGTTGGTAAGAAACAGTCTACATTTACCAGCGATGCGGGCTCGTAATCGTCCCAGAAATTGCGCCGTAGTCCTGGAGGCATTCTCAATGTTTAAAAAAGTGATTTTTGTGGCGATTTGTTCGTGGAATACAGCTCACAGAGCTAACACATCACTTGTAACTCTCTGTACCGGCGTCACATTTCCGCATAGGGCTCCCATAATCCTCTAGCAGCTAATGTTCAAGGCGCCTTTCAGCAATATTTCCCGGAAAACGCTGGAAATAAACAAAGGGACACTGTTATACAACAATAAACAACACAGCAAATGAATCCCAATATTACTTTTCCACATACACCTAGTAATCTGCACTCGATTTAAGTGCAGTGTTTAGATGTGAATCTTCAAAAAAGTGGTTGAAAAAATATTTCATCCCACCACTTCAACACGAGGACAATATTGTGAGTTGTGAATCAGATGGGAGTGTCGCACGAGCGTACTGGAGTCATGAATCATTCGGTAGAAGTATGCATAAATCCGGTGCTATTCAATTTTTTCTCGTTTTTAAGTGGCCTATCACAACATTATCTGTTTTCGCGAAAGGATTCCTACTTAAAAGTTCCTCTGAAACATATTTGATACTTCAGTTACCCCTCTGCAGTTCGAAAGTGGGTTTGCTCGAAAAAAGGAACTATTCGACCAAGTTATCTAAACTAATTTTTTACTCGCTAAAGGAATAAAGTGGCTCGTAATTTCTTTGCTGAGCTTAAACAATTTACGTAAGTTACTTGGGCTACACATCCGGTAATAAATCACACGGAGACATGACAATCAGTTTTCGCCAACTCGACAGACAAACAATTCCTCATTACTTCCGCTAGATTAAGTCACTGTCACCATAACAACAGGGATTAAGAGCTTAGCTGAATTTCTCCTCTCAAACCGTTTGTGAGCTAATAAGGGCATCCACACCATTGTGGATTTCAAATATTCGTCTGGTTCGCAGCTTACTCTGGTTTTGAAAGGAGTAAAGAAGACGTTAGCGACAACGGAGATATTGCCGTGCGACTTTGCAGTAAATGTATTTGGTTCCAGTCAATATCTGTGGACAAGGGCTGCACGAAAATACACACGTCGTTCTTCGGTCTCTCGCAAATTTGTTATGAAGAATTTTATGTCCCAAAAGAGCAAACAACCCCCGATTTAAAACTTCAGCAAGCCTTTAATTGTGGTACGAAAGAGAGATCATGGCAAACACACGTTGAATGGTCCTCTTAACTTTATTGGCATTTATAACAGCGTATAAGTCTCAAATACGATTTTTGTTTGTTTGTGTTACTCATATGGCTGTCATAATCAAAACCGTCCCCTCCCCAAAAAGGAGATTTATTTTTCATAACATCAGGAGATGGGCCCAGTCCCTCACCGCTGTTTTATTCCTGCCTCCATTTCATATCCTACAATAATTTCATCTTTTTTCTTTGAGATTCTTCTTCATCTTCGTCATCTTCCTCTTCTTCTTGGAAGACAGTTCTGGGTTGGGTACTGAAAGGAAAAAAAGAAAGTCAGGCCTTTAAGAAGACTCTGAAAGATAATTAATGAGATCCACAACACTGTGAGAGTAAAGAGTCCAGCTTACGACGAGACAAAAAAACCCCAAACACCACTCTTCGTACTTGGTACATTATTAAAAATAAACAGCTGAGCTGGCCTGATTTTGACATCCATGTTCGATAATTGCGCCGAAACTTGGTCTAAACAGGAGCCAATAGCTCAAGGTGTATCAAACTTACTGTGCATATGCTGGTGACACCCAGTAAGGATCTTCCGCGGCAGCCTGAGAAAAGAAAAACATGATGCCGGTGAGACAGACGCAAACACCGACTGACTTACCTCCATACATATATACATACAGTCAGACACCAAGCAGTCAGGCAGGCAGGCAGACAGACACCAGGCAGTCAGGCAGGCGGGCAGGCAAGAGTAACAGGGGCAGAGAAACAGACAAATTAGACCGACGGACACTGACAGATAGACGGACAGTGGAATAGAGCCAGACAATCACAAAGAGAGACAGAAAACCAGAACATTCAAGTGACGAAAACAGTTGTGCAGAAAGACAGATACAGAAAGCCATGTATGCAGACAGTCAGACAAAGACAGGCGTTAATAAACTAGTATATAAAAACAAAAAGACAGAGGTTAAAAGATCGACAGACCAAGCGACAGACAGGCGGACATAAAGGTGCATTAAGGCAAGGAAACATGCAGAACGGAAAGCGAGCTGACTGACAAAGAATGAACACACCACAGCTACACTGTATACCTTTGCGTGTTTGAGGATGGCCTCACGAGGATGCGAATCATCTTTCATCTCCAGTGCCATGCTTTTCACCACATAAGCTGACAATGACATACCAGATGTAACTCTGCCACCATGGCCTGGAAAAAAAGCCACAGCATCAATTAGCTGACATTTTACAAAAATAAGCAGATATTTTACACTCATCTGAGTTCAAATGCTTCCTACGCAGGGTTAGAGGTTACTTTTATCAAAATACATAGTTGTTATCAAAACTTCAGTCCCCTATGGAGCATCATCCAGTTGCGTGCCCAATCTAATCTAAAACTGCTTTGGTTTTGCTTTACCACACTCTGCGATAGGTCTAGAAATCTCAAGCCACCCTGTAAACCAATCAGGTGCAAAAGAAGCATAACCAATTAAAACATCGTTGATCACGTTTTCTCGCACTCAAGGCACGTCACAAGGGTCTTCGTTGGTTCTCCTGCTGTATTTACCTTAGCTGTGCTTGGTCTTTTGAATTCAGTCAATGAAACTAAACGCTCACCTGGGCCAGTGACTGGCAAATCCGGTCTGTGTGACCTGACGGGGTCCTTCCGATCTGCTTCTTTCAACTTCTTCTTATTCTTGAATCGCTTTTCGCGGAACATAGGCAATGAATGTGCTACAAAACAAGACAAAAGACATTGCAATTTCAGTATCAGTTAAAATTAGCCAACTTAGTCAGAAATCAGGAACGTGGAATCGCATTTAATCAATTTCGTGTTTTCATTGGAATCTCTTCAATCCTCAAATGAAAAAAAATGCACAGAATTATACTCACGAGTGATAATGTGATCTTTCAATGGCATCTCTTTAGAAGCGACTTTTCTTTTCACATTTCCAGCACAAAGTTTAGCTCCCCTTTAAAAATCATAAACAAAGAGAACAACAACTTTAAGAAGTAATACGGTAAAGAACTACTAACACAAGACACGTTAGCAACGAAAATAAAAGCATAACAATCATTTAACCCTTTAACCCCAACGAGTGATTAGTGTCTAATTTCTCCTTACAATATCCCCCCTGAATCAAACATTAGGGTCATGAGAATAATGGAAGTGATCAACAACTACAGAAGCTCTGGATTGTTAAGCTAACTCTCCTTGTCAGCACTTAGGAAATGTATAGAGAACAGTGTGGAGAATATGCATACTGATATTAGGGTGTAAAGAGTTAAAAGCCAACTCACTTGTTGCTCTTCTCGGGGTCAAAGTATACCTTGGTAGTTCCATTTCCACAACCGACCACAATCTGGTTTAACTTGGGGTGCCATAAGCAGCTAACGACGCTCTGAAAAACCAAACACACAGTGATTGTTAGCGCGCCTTCCTATTGAATGTTGTAAATCGAAAACGAAAGAAAATCAGAACGAAGGTAAAGATCACCAAAGAGCGGATGAGAACTTTAAGTAAAAACAAGTAATAATTTTGGACACAAAGGAAAAATCGTGTGACCTTGTCAAGATTAGTTTTAACTTTATTTCTGACTGGTTTAGTACGTAACGCGAGTTTTCCACATCTCTCACAAGGCGACATGAAGTAGAAGGAACGCAATCTTGGCTGACATTCGACACTCAATGAAAATCTGCTCTAATACTTAAATATTTCGCTGCAGTTTTAGAGATTACCAAATTTTCTACAAAACAGAAAGCAACTTAGTAACGTTACATTTCGATGCTTAAATTATCTCCGCTTTTTTTACCGTTGATGAATCCCTTTATATACCATAAAAGCTTAACACTTTAACTCCCTTGATCTGATCATTAAATCTCCCTAGCAACTGCTACACGTTTCCTTGTAAATTAGTTACAAGAATTTGTTGTTACATGTAGATCAAGATAAAAACTTCTACCTGATGGATTTAGGTATTCTCATCACCGGCTCGCATGTTAATTACTTCTTAACCCCCTCTCCTTCCCTAGATGGAATAACAGTCCATCTAAGCCCTAACCAAGATTCGAACCTTGACACAGAGTCCACCCAATTACTGTTAGCCTAACTCCTAGGTCTGCCACAATTTATTATTCCGCTTCATGGCCCAATGATTCATTTGAGGGCCAGCACAGATTTGACACGCTGAGCAAGGGGAGTAGGAACGTGACTTAACAATTAAAAAAATCTTATAAACGACACACGAAGTAAAAGTAACAACAACAACAACTTACCGACTCCATCACATCAAACTCGTACAGTTTTCGCAAGGACTCCCTTTCCAAGAACACCAGCTGACCTGATCCCTATGACCAAAAGGAGAACCTGGTTACATTATTTTTTTGAGCAACAACTTAGACATTTCTATGGACTCTCGTGAGAGCAAATGGGCAAATAAAGCCCGATGAAAAAATAAAAGCAAAGGTCAGGCAAAGAAAAAATAGATATGGGACTGCCGTTTTTCCTGACAACTACAACTGCTTTTCGTCGCTTGCAAGCTCCTTCAAAAGTCTCTAGTCATTGAGGGCCTGCAACAGCTAGGATGTCAATAATATTTACAAATATATCGACACTATAAGCTGATTTTATCTTTGTTAGCACATTCTATATCCTTCAACATGTGTGGTTTGCTTAATTGTTTGCCTGTTGTTGTTGTCGTTTTTCTCCCAGAGACTGAAAAAGTACAACGTCGAAAAGGACTTACCTGTCCTTTCTTTACTGATGTTCCCGTTACTATCAACTTGTCGTCCGGACTAAACAGACATGAAGTTCTAAGAAACAAGAAAAAAAAGTGGATTTTACAAAATCCCCTAAGTTTGCTGATTCGTGAGGTTTATTACATCAGTTCATCAACTGAGAGAAATTTACAAATGAGCGTAAAAAGTGAAGCAGCATTGCAATGGTTTTTTTTTCTTCACCACACTTTGTGATTGGTCTTGTAAACTCGCGCCATACACTCGAACAACCAGAAGCAAAACAAAAAAAAAATACCGTCTTATCTACAAGTGATTTCCCGCGCTTGAAGTAACCCGAGCTGTCACCG